GTCACCAATGTCGGAGATACAGAGTCCTAATGTAACCGGTGTCCAATCTGTGATGCAGCCGAGTATCATCCCCAACAATCTCCAAGTCTCAAACCCGGTAAGTACCACAGCCTCTTACCACCGAAATCCAACACTGATCTCTGTCCAACTAGTATAAGTCTCCAGTCTGAAGAAGAAGAAGAAGAAGAAGAAGAAGAAGAAGAAGAAGATGATGTCTGAAGAAGAAGAAGAAGGAGAAGAAGGGAGAGATGGCAGAGGAGGAGAAGGAGGTGAGGAGGGGGGAACGGGACCGTGGAGGGAGGAGAGAAGATCCTCGCCTCCTGGTACCTGCCCTGCTGCTGTCGAGGCGGCTATGGCCGCCGTGCTGCTGCTGATCTCCTCACTCGCTGCTGCTGCTGCGCTAGCTCGTGCTGCTGCTGCTGTCCTTCGCTCCTGCGCTCAAAATACCGCTGCCGCTGCCAACCGATACGCACCAGCATTATGCCGGTGGCTCGATGCCTCGAAGTGAGGCAGGACCAGTACTAAGTACTGGTTCGAAGAAGACCGGCCTCAATGCTGCGAGGCCTCGGTTGGGTCTGCATCGTCCAGATCGATGAGTCAGATCCGACCGGAGAGCGGCAGCCTCAAAGGTGCCGCCAGGCCCAAAACGAAAATGTCGTTTGGGCCTGGTCCGTAGGTCTGGTCCAAATATTGGCCTTTCGGCCTGATAATCCCCAAGGTCGGGCCTTTAGGCCCTACTGTGTCCCTCTAGCCCTAAGTCGGGTCCCCGGCCGTCGATCACAGTATCCGCCTTCAAGCCAATGCAGTTCAAAGTCACATTCAAGCAATGTGCGCCTGACGACACTCGGTGGATCTCTAGTGCAGACTTGCAGACTTCTGCACCCCTCATCTTCACCGACTATGAGAAGCGACGCCTTGCCAAGGAAGCAGCTCGTCCGACCCGACCCATCCCGGTATCGGACAGACAACTCTGCCCTCGCAAGTAGCTCGGTCTTTTAAGAGGGGGAGTGTGTTACATCTTCGATGACCTGCGGGGTCGTCTACAACGGCAGAAGTGACTTCCCATGGTCCGAACCGTTTCGGAAGGAGTTTGCGCGAAACGTCGTGCTCGAGCGCAAATTCCTCGGAGAGGACCCAAACGAGGTTTCCCTCGCGGCAAGGACATGGAAGTCGACGTCGGTTAGCTTGCTGCTGCATGCGGATTTGAGCCTTTTGCATATTCGCACGACTTTCATCAGCAAGTCCCGGTACTTCCGAACGGAAGCGGGAGAGCAAGGGACGTCTATGTCGGCAGCTTGTGGCAAAAGGAGATCAGCGAAGATCCGTGTTTTCTCTCCACCATGATGTAGCTCGAATGGTGTGACGCAGATCGCCGGATGCACCGAAGTGTTATAGGCGAACTCGATGTCGGGAAGCCGGTCAACCCAATCTTTCTGGTCGGGACGGATGAGCGTACGCAACATCATCTGAGCAGTCTGATGCGCTCACTCCGTCTGGCCATCCATCTGC